AGCTCCTCCCCAAGGGCACCCTTGTCTTGCATTCGGCGTAGCCCGATCCAGATCATGGACGTTCGCAGCGGGGCGGAGAAGAGGACAGGGGGCAGCCACACTCGCCCGTGGCGTTGTGGTTCAAGCGACGGCGACTCGAGGCCAATCCGGGCAATCGGGACGAGTAGAGGGAGGGGAGAGGAGCCGGAGGGGCCGTTGGGCGCACCACTGATGCCGATAGTGACGACGCAGACCGTCTGGGTGGCGGCGCGTGTGGAAGAAAACGAGATGACTTTTTTGGTTGGCTAGAGAAGACCAGTCAAAGTGCCCGCGTGGTATGTTTTTGCGCAGTTAGCTCCTGACAAGAGGGACCCATCTATCATAATCATGCTCAAAGACCTCTAATTCACCGATCAATAGTTTTTGCAAAACGATTACACAAGATGTGTTGTTTTGTGCAACAAAAATGTAGGTAGCTTTAAAAGTGATGGTTTCATGCAATTTACTCTTCCACGTCAACAGTGGGAGACCTAAGGTGATTTCATCATTTTGGAAAACTCCAAGATTATGGTGTTCCGTAAGGCAACATGAAAGTGTGTAGGGCGGCGCTGAGCATGATTGTGTACGTTTATACAGTATTCGATATATCAAAACTTGAGACAACATAAAAAAATCTCATAACCGCAACAACAAGAATACCTCCGCAATAAAGAAAAGAAAAAAGATGAACGAGAACGACACAGTACTAGTTTGACCCGGTCGTCGAATAGACATGACGTGTATGTTCGTATGTTGGTCGTCAGTGATCGAACATCTGAAGCATGCAGCAGCAAAACCCAATCTGGTCAGTCCACTGTGTTGGCAATCACCGTATGGCATATTTGGGAAGTAAGGAATGCGACTGTTGCGGAACACAGTCGTGAGACACCATCAAGTTCATTGGTTAGATGGTCTCCGCCGCCGCCCGGATCAGTCCTTATTAACGTCGACGCAGCTATCTTTTCAAACCTGCACAAACTGGGAATTGGCATCCTGATTCGGAACCACAAAGGCGAATGCTTGGTCGCTTGCACTGAGCCACTTAAAGGGATGGTACAGCCAGAACTTGCTGAAAGCTGGGCGCTCCGTCATGCCGTGATTCTCGCCCATGATGAAAGGCTGACCTCTGTCATTTTCGCTTCAGACTGCCTCTCCTTAGTACAAAGAATGAACTCTTCATCCATGGACAGGTCTGAAGTGGGTGTAGTGGTGTCAGATATTAAGCGTTTGGTTGCTTGTTTTTCTTCAGTTTCCTTCTGCCATGTCAAGCGGTCATTGAATGCTGCTGCTCATATACTAGCTAGGTCCTGTGAGTTTGCCAGTTCAAAAGCCGTGTACTATTCTACTCCAGAGTGTATCAGGCAAACTCTATGTACTGATGTATACTAATTAATAAATTGCAGCATTCTCTCTAAAAAAAAACCCAATCTGGTCCTCTCAGTTGACTCTGCCGGCTCATCTGGCAGCAACGACCATGCGTGCATAGTCAAAACACCTGAGGAAAACATGCAGAAATAAAAAGGGAACAATTGAGAAAAATATACAGTCTCTTCCGTCACAAAGAGACGCCACCGCCAATCCTTCTCAAGCTTATTATAGATGAGGCCAACCTATGGGTTACTGCAGGGGCTAAACAATTAGGGAAAATTGTATCGCGCGAGTAATTGTCATGCCGTACTCCGGCCTTGTGTAACTCTACAAAACTCTATTCTCCTCTACTTTAATAGATGAGGCAAATCTTTTGCCTCTGTTTCAACAAAAATAATCATTCATATCTCTGCCTCATTTCGTGCATTTCGAATATGATTTTGGAAAATTGCTCACCTATACTAGCCACGAAATTAAAAAAAATCAGACAACGAGTGAAGGTACTTCTGCTATGAGCATGAGTGTGAAGCTAAAATTTGTACCACCTCAAGGTAACATCGACGTCCTCGTCTCTACTGAGCACCGTACCCTCTTTAGTTTATTTCTTATATTTGTATTTCTTGTTTCCTACCTTTATAATGCAACATATTCTTTGTACTTCCCCTGTTATAAAATACGCCCTCCTTCCTAAATATTTGTCTTTCTAGACATTTCAACAAGTGACTACATACGGAACAAAATGAGTGAATCTACACTCTCGAATATGTCTACATACATCCGTATGTGATAGTCCATTTAAAATGTCTAGAAAAACAAATATTTAGGAACGGAGGGAGCAAGTGTTACAAAGTTGTATAGTATTACTTCCTCCCAAATTTATCTAGATACGGATTTTATACTAAACCAGCGACACTTATTTTAGGACGGAGGGAGTAATTTGGTCTTTTGGTGTTGTCATTCGCTCAGTTCAATATTGTGTCATCTTGTCCTTCCACTTTTCACAGCAACATCCATCAGCTCATCATCATCTTTGCATCGCACACTTGTTGCCTGTAAATTAAAGAGGTAATAGCACCAGCGGTCCTGAAACTTGTCCAGGATGTAATGATCTAGTTCAAAATTTGCAAAAGCAAACTATTGCATCTCACAACTTACACCTAATGTGCAAATTTGGTCCTAGCCAATCAGACGACACCAAGGGGAGCCTAGTAAGCAGAGCCGGTCAGCGCAGCACATTTTGCAATTACCCCCCTGAACTTAGCACTAATGAATTCGAGGATCCTAGGTTCTCGGTGTGGCAGAGCAGCAGCCGCTCCTTTTCCTCCTCGGGGACGTCGTAGGCGACGCAGCCGGTGTCCGGCACGTACCCCACCATCCTGATCTGCGACACCAGCCGGCTCATCTCGCCGTATATCTCCGGCGTCTCCGGGTACGGCGGCGACCCGCCGTCGACCTCGAAGACGTGGACGCTCCGCCCGACCTGCGTCCAGCTCCACCCCGGCCTGGCGTCCACCCCTCTCGCCTCCATGGCGTACTTGAGGCTCTCCGCCTCGTCGAACATCTGGTGCTGCTCGTACAGGCTCATCATCGCCAGGTAGTTGGCCGAGTTGTGCGGCTCGAGCTTGAAGAGGTGCCTCGCCGCGGACTCCGCGAGGTCCAGGTTGCCGTAGATGGCGCAGCCGGTGAGGAGCGGGAGCGCGCCCCAGGAGCTTGCTCCGGGGTCGGCCGGCGACCGCTGGATGAAGGCCATCGCCTCGTCGAGGTACCGGCGCCAAGCCAGCAGGTCGACCATGCAGGCGTGGTGCTCGGCCGTCGGCGCCACGCCGTACTTGGCCTCCATGTTGTCGAAGTACTCCCAGGCTTCGGTGACCAGGCCCATGGATCGGCATGCGGTGAGCACCGCCGTGAAGGTTATGCCGTCCGGCTTCAGCCCCGACCTCCACATGTCGTGGAACAACGTCGCTGCCTCGTGTGCCTGCCCGTGCACGGCCAGCCCGGTGAGCATCGCGTTGCAGCACCGCAGCGGAGGCTGGGCTCGACGCGGCCACCCGCTTGCTGCGCCCCGTGCTCAGTGGTGCGTGATGTTCACTTTGAGTAGAGTAGACTAGGCGTTGCACACCGAGCTAGCGTGGATGATCTGATGTTTGTGCGCCGGCACGGTCGCCATTATCCCGTGCATGCGTGTTCAGCATGCCGCCCAAGCGGCTGCTGGCGCACTACAAGGTCGACCCCAAGCGCAACCGGCTGCTCATGGTGGCCTGCAACTCCGAGGACATGCTCCTCCCGCGCGCCAACTTCACTTTCTACGGTCGGCAGCACCCCCTCGTCCATCCATATGCCCATTAAAATCAAATCATTGGTGGTACGTATGCAGAGTTCGACGCCGGCTTCAGGCTGGTGCAGAAGCGGGAGTTCGTGCTGCCGGCGCATCTCATGATCCACGACTGGGCCTTCACCGACTCCCACTACGTCGTCCTCGGCAACAGGATCAGGCTCGACATCCCGTGGTCGATGCTGGCCATGACGCGCACGCACCCCATGATCGCGGCGCTCGCGCTGGACCCGGGAAGGCGGACCATGTTGAAATATATTGCCCACCTCTCTCCATCAGTTCGGACTTTTGGAGCAACTGGCTGGAGCATTAATTCAATATGGTATCCGGGCCAAGAGGTCTTGAGTTCAAGACCCTGCCAACACAGTATTAAATAAAACGATTCTGCGGCCTACATCGATCCCACGTCTAACTGATAAAATAGTCTAGACGTGAGGGGGAGTGTTGAAATATATTTCAACGCCTTCGAGGAGGACAACGGCCGCGGCGGCCTCGACCTGCACCTGCACATGTTTGGCTGCTCCTACGACAGGTTCCATTTCCACGGGATGTTTGGTAACGTCGTTGACATGGCACCAAACATTCAGTTGATCTTCGTTTGCGCGATGATGATCCAGTGACTGACCGACATATCCGTGCTCCGATGATGCAATTCTCACAGGTTACAACTGGAAGAACAAGAAGCTGGACCCTCCCTTCATGAACGCACTGAAGACCAAGGAAATGCTGCCTCTTGTTCTTACCTGAATAATTGTGTAGTGCGGGTTCATTAGTGCTAAGTCCAGGGGTAATTGCAAAATGTGTTGCGCTGACCGGCTCTGCTGACTAGGCTTCATTTGTCATCGTCTGATTGGCTAGGACCAAATTTGCACATTAAATGCAAGTTGTGGGATGCAATAGTTTGCTTTTGTAAGTTTTGAACTAGATCATCACATCCTGGACAAGTTCCAGGACTGCTGGTGCTATTACCTCTAAATTAAAAATCCGGCCCGGCTGCTATCACCCCTTCAAGTTGGACCAAACCAAGAAGTAATTGTCAGCATGCACGCGACCAAGAGGGACGTAATCGCTTGCGTCGTTGGTACCACAGGCGCGCGTTCGCCGTGGCTGGTCGATGAGGCCGTGCTCGCTAGCTTATAAATACTCCGTGTCCACAGTATCCATATCCATATCCAGCACGATTTGATTTGCACCAACCAAATCAAGGAATACTCTACAGTCTACACAAAAGAAGAATACGAATCCCACAGCCCTTTTGCCATTTCGGAGAAAAGGATCGTCAATGGCCGCGGAGACAATGCCACCCCAACCCCACGCCGTGTGCCTGCCGTACCCGGCGCAGGGCCACATCGCCCCCATGCTCAACGTCGCCAAGCTGCTTCACGCTCGCGGCTTCCACGTTACCTTCGTCAACTCCGAGTACAACCACGCCCGCCTCGTCCGGACGCGTGGCGCAGCCGCCATGGCCGGCGCCGCGGGCTTCCGCTTCGCCACCATCCCGGACGGCATGCAGGCGCCGTCCAGCGGCGAAGATGACGATGTCACGCAGGACATCCCGTCGCTATGCAAGTCCACCACGGAGACCTGCCTCGGGCCCTTCCGCCGCCTCCTCGCCGAGCTCAACGCGGCGAGGGACCGCCCTCCCGTCACCTGCGTCGTCTCCGACCTCATCATGGGCTTCTCCATGGACGCGGCCAAGGAGCTTGGCCTCCCCTACGTCCAGCTCTGGACGGCCAGCACCATCAGCTACCTCGGGTACCGACATTACCGCCTCCTCATTGACCGCGGCATCGCCCCACTTAAAGGTACGTACATGTATCGATCGAACACACATTGTTGGCTATCTGTGGACCTATCTGCTCTGGCAATAATACCATCTCTTTACCTGCATGCATGGGCCGTAGATATGAAACAGTTGACGGATGGATACCTTGACATGCCGGTGGAAGACGTCCCGGGCCTGAGGAGCATGAGGCTCAGGGACTTCCCGACCTTCATACGCAGCACGGACCCAGATGAGTTCATGGTGCGTTACGCCATCAAGGAGACAGAGCGCGCAGCCGGCGCAACGGCCGTGATCCTCAACAGCTTCGGCGATCTAGAGGGCGAGGCGGTGGAGGCCATGGAACCGCTTCTCGGTGACGGCAACGGCAAGCCCAAGGTGTACACGGTCGGCCCGCTGAGTCTGCTCGCGCCGCGCTCCACGAGCAGTACCATCAGTAGCCTCAGCCTGTGGAAGGAGCAGGAGGAGTGCCTCCAGTGGCTCCAAGGCAAGGAGCCCGCCTCCGTCGTGTACGTCAACTTCGGGAGCATCGTCGTCATGACCAGCGAGCAGCTGGTGGAGTTCGCGTGGGGGCTAGCCAACAGCGGCCAGCACTTCGTATGGGTCATTCGCCCCGACCTCGTGAGGGGCGACTCCGCGGTGCTTCCCCCGGAGTTCCTGACGGAGACGGCGGGGCGCAGGCTCATGGCCTCCTGGTGCCCGCAGCAGGAGGTGCTGAACCATCCGGCGGTGGGCGCGTTCCTGACGCACAGTGGCTGGAACTCGACACTGGAGAGCATGTGCGGCGGCGTGCCCGTCATCAGTTGGCCCTTCTTCGGCGACCAACAGACCAACTGCAGGTACCAGTGCAAAGAGTGGGGCGTCGGCATGGAGATCGACAACAACGTCCAGCGCGATGCCGTCACGGGCCTCATCGCGGAGCTCATGGACGGGGAGAAGGGCAAGCAGATGAGGAAGAGGGCGATGGAGTGGCAGGAGAAGGCCATCATGGCGGCCAAGCCCGGCGGTTCGTCCCACCGCAATTTCGACGAGTTGGTCCGGGATGTACTCCTGCCCAAGAACGGCGACGACGCACACGGTGTCGCGCGGGATTAATCCATGGGAAACCAAACGTTTGTGCTGCAAAATTACCATATTTTATGAAATGTGTCCCTTAAACGACAGTTATCAGTGACCTCTGTTTGTAAACTGCAACCATATATTTCAATTTGGATTGGTTTGTTTTCAAGCGACTGCAAACAAAATAAGCACATTTTGATGGACATTTAACTAGATCATATCAAACGTGGTTTGCTGGCTTACACGATTTTGAATCTGTGGATAGGGCGAATTCGCCTCATTTCTGCATAGCTTTGTTCCCGTTCCGTATTGCCGTTCACATTAATTAGATTCATGCAATACTTTAGACAGAGCGGTTTTCATATTTCACTGAGGTCTAAGCAATTCACTGTAGGATTAGGTTCGTGCAAATAAAAAAAGAAGAGACATTTTCTTTTCCCATATAAAGATGTAACGATCTTCTTTTTTGGAATTTTCAAGGAGCTGCTACGTGTGCAGACCTGGTAGAAAGCCCAAAACTGTGACCTTTGTATTTTATTTATTTTATTTTATCCCGAAAATCATTTATTTAATTTTTGAAGTGCATTTTTTTTAAGAAGATGGAAAAATAGAAATACAATTTTCTAGGCCATCGGCCAGGCTAGGGCCAGGCTAAGCACTTTCATATAAGGCTTTTGAAAGCCCAACCCACAAACTAACCCGACCCAAGGTATGAACAGGTCCAGGATGATGACTGGATCCTGTATCTCCAACTACTTTTTGGCGTACCAAAAATGCTAAACGTACGGGCACCTACAGGCCCGTACGAGGACCTTCCAACAAACTAAACACTGCCCCCCTCCCTCCTGATTTTCAGGAGGTGGGGCCTACTTTGACAATTAAATCCAATCACAAACTTCCACGTCACATTATTTTCAAGTCAACCTATAAAAGCCTGTATAATCCTGTACGGGTAGCATTATTGTTTGGCGTACCACGCCCCCACCACGAGACTATAGCTAGCGCTGCTAGCCACCCTGCCAGCCTACTGTTTGTGATAAGTAAAAGAGCGCGACCTACCTGAAGCGAGTCGGTCCGGTTTTCTCAGGGATTTTTTTTTCTTTTCTTTTCTTTTTCCTCTCCATTTTTTTCATTCTTTCTGCATTTTTCTTTCTTTTTATTTTTTTCTTTGGTTTCTTTTGTTTCTTTTTCGTTTCCTTTCTTTTTCTTGTTTTCATTCTATATTTTTTGTACGTATATGTTAACAATAATTTTCTAATAAATGTTAAAAAATCCAATAAAACTTAATCTTTTTAATACATGGTCACCATTTTTCTATAAATATTTTTAATATTTTTTCAAATGCTTGATTAAAATTATTCAAATACAAGGTTACAATTTTTTAATATATGGTCAAACTTTTTCAAATACTTTATTAATATTTTTTAATACAAGATTAACATTTTCTAATGCATGGTCAACCTTTTTCAAATGCTTGGTCAACATTTTAAATACAATATTAAGATTTTATGAACACATGGTAAAACAAATTTGTAAACACATTTAATATTTTTCAAATACTTGTTCAATATTTTTTCAAATGCTTGATTAACATTTTCATATACATGATCAATTGTTTTCACTATTTTTTTAATACATTTTTTTAGTCTTCTTTTTTTTTAATACATGATCATGTTTGGAGACGGAGTGTGCGGCCAGCGCATCGGCCGTCATCCTCGACAGCTTCGGCGGCCCGGAGGGCGAGGCGGTGGAGATCATGGAAGCGCTCCTCGGCGACGGCAACTGCAAGCCCAAGGTATACCCAGCGGCCCGCTGGCTATGCTTGCGCCAGGCAGTTTTGAAGTACGCATGTATACCAACCAGCAATTATCCTCAAAAAAAAAAAAAAAAACCAACCAGCAATTTTTTAACTCCACTAACATAGATGGCCCCCTCGTGTTGGCAGACTCTATATATGTAAGCCATGGCTGGGGCTGAGGGTTCCCGTCATATTGCAATCATCTTATAAGCAAGAGAAAAACCTCAACAGGAAGTAAGGTGTTACCTCCACCGTTGAGGGGCCGAACATGTATAATTCCTTGTGTGTACAGCCTATGCATCTTCCGTAGGCTGTACCCCTCTACGTTCATACCCCTATACTTATTCTCAGAATTATATCCACGACACACGCTTCGTGCCCTGTTTACTTGTATTGACGTATATATTTGCAATGGTGATGTGTACGTAGATGCCATGCCACGATAGAACTAATTAAGCATGAACCTGACTCCGTGTTCAACAGTATGCAAGATATATAGTACGATGCACACTCCATATTTACCCTAGCCTCAAATGTGGTGGTTTTGGGTAAATAACTCATATTTACGAGTTATTTACCCAAAATCACCACATTTGGGGTTAGGGTAACAACTTGATACCACATATGAGGCAGGGCACAAAAAACCATCATTTTTGTGCCTAACGAATAACACAGAGCACTGATAGTCGGATAATCTCGCGAAAACAGCCAAACTGACCGGTTGGGTCCACCTGTAAGGCTGACATGGCATGCCTACGTGGAAATTTTGCTGACTTGGACGAGTGTCCCGCATGTCAATGACTCAAGTGTTTATTTTTTTTCAACTTTTCTCTTTTATTTCTTTCTCCTTTTCTCTATCGGCATTTAACCGAACACGTTGTGGGCGCTGAACCACGGCCATCACCGGCGCCGCCACCATAGAGGACGTGCACAGCGACAACGCCTACCCAGGCCGTCGAGCCGGGAGACCAGCTCCCATCTACGGGCCGCGTCGTGGAAGTAGTGACTGTCGGAGGTGGACGAGGACATGGCCGACGCGGGATCTCGCCAGAGCTCTGCTTGCGGCCCCGCTCAGCGCAGACAGCAAGACGGAGGTGCCTCAAATCCTTACTTCGCTGTCAATGGCGCCGCGGCAGGGAACGAAGGGAGGAGGCACGAAGGCATCGAGCGGGAGCACCATCGGCAGCAGGTCGTGCGGCCTGCTCCGCGCCCGCATCGTGCGCTCCCTCCGCCGTGCGACCCCGGCTCGTTGCTCCCAGTCACGAGCGCCGCTGGCGTCTTCCTCCGCCGTCGTGGAGCTCCACGCCGCCAACACCATCCGCCGCCGCCGTCCAGCAATTGGAGCGCCGCCGCCATGCGCCTCCCCTCCTTTTTTCTCTTCCAGCCAAGTAAGGCGGGCGACGCGAACGAGCACTTCTCCACCACCAGAGCGTGTTGGCCTTCTTTTTCTCTTACGGGGGTGTGGTGACCTGCACAACTCCTAGCCGCCGCCGGCGAGCTCCTCTCCACCTTCCCTACCGCTCCCATGCTCTGCGTGACCTGTTGAAGAGATGGGGAGGAAGAAGGCAATGTGTGGATGACATGTGGGATCCTCATCCAAGTCAGCAAAATTTCCACGTAGGCATGCCACGTCAGCCTTACAAGTGGACCCAACCGGTCAGTTTGGCTGTTTTCGAGAGGTTATCCGACTATCAGTGCTCTGTGTTATTCGTTAGGCACAAAAATGATGGTTTCTTGTGTCCTACCTCAAATGTAGTATTAAGTTGTTACCCTAACCCCAAATGTGGTGGTTTTGGGAAAATAACTCATATTTACACGACAAATGCTCTGCATTTCGAACTCAAAAAGAAGCGAAAATAATGCAAAACACTAGGGTAGTTAACAGTCTCTGCCGCCGCTGATTCATCCCCGTCTTCGCGTGTGTCGGTCAAGCTGGTCGCGAGGCCCTGACAAGGCCGCTACGGAACCGCGTGGCCTCGTCCACCATTGTCAGCCGTGTACTTGAGGATTTTGGACAGCACTTGACGATTGGTCGACCGTGACCCGTGAAATGTACACGCGCGTCTACTTTCATCATTGTTGTTCCGACTTCCAAGCTTCCTAAACGACACACAGCAGGCAGTTGGACAGTCACTTTTACATGCATGCACACTTCCGACTTCACAGTGTACCGCGGCAGGAGGGCTTGGCCAATGCTCCACGGCCCTGGTCTACAAGGACATCGACCGCCAACCACGGCTCTGCGAGTAACACACGAGGCGCCGAGCCGGTCCAATTACACGGCGGAACCGCGTACGTGGCTGGCGTCTTCGGCTGCAGACCCAGGGGTCGTTGCTTTGGCGCGACACGCGTCCATCATTTGCTCCTCTGCACAAAGTAGTAGTACGATCCACGTTCCAGTTGGCAGGCACGAAGCCAATAGTTCTTCTCTGCCTTGCAGTTTAGTGAGGCATTCTTTCTCGAAAATGATAAATGTGGAACGTTCAAGATTTGACCATGACAAATCGAACATTTTCGAGACAATTTTAGTGACACGGGGATGGCAAGCTTAGTTGACATGTTGCGTGTTAGATATCAACCATGCACTTGTTGTGTGACTCCTGTTTCTACGCACGGATCATAACATCGGCTCAAGCATAACTGCACAAGCAAATTAAATACTCCCAATCAGGCGGCTAGGTGATGGCTTTTTCACTGCTTTCGAAATAGGCATTCACCTTGCTTTATAATAAAGCAAAAACGACCGAAGTGATACAAGGTGGCGAAAAAAAATCCTCTTACAAAGCAAGGTGGTCCAATTACAACAGCAGAAACTGTACTGCAGTCTGCACACCGACAGCCATGGATTCGACCATGCATCTCGCCTTAGCCAACATGTAGTAGGATAAAAGTTGTACACAAATTTGCATGCCTAAAAATATCTACAAACGCCCCTATAAATAGATGTTGTACGCCGTTGAGCAAGCATCAACCTATTGCAAGCCACTTGCAGAATGACTCCAACTAAGCAACACCACCTCCATGTCCTCCTGCTCCTCCTCATATGCTCCTCCTCCATAGTTGTTGCAGCCAAGCATAACACCGCTGTCCTTTGCCACCCTGATCAAGCTTCTTCCCTGCTCCAGCTAAAGCAATCCTTCATCGACGTCGATGCAAAGTTGGCTTCATGGCGAGCTGGAAGTGACTGCTGCCATTGGGAGGGCGTCACCTGTGACAGGGACTCTGGGAGAGTCATTTCCCTAGACCTTGGTGGGTTTAACTTGATGAGCCGTCATCTTCACCCTGCAATCTTCAACCTCACATCTCTGAGGAACCTCAGCCTTGCACACAATGACTTCGGCACTGCCACCCTCCCAACTCACGGGTTCGAGCAGCTCCCAAATATCATTCATCTCAACTTCTCCTCTACCAGTTTTTTCGGCCAGTTTCCTGTTGGAATTGCCCGCCTCAAGAACCTTGCCACTCTTGATTTTTCTGATAATTTTGACTTATATCTACAAGAGCCAAACTTCCAGACCTTCATGGCAAATCTAAGCTATCTGAGGGAGCTCCGGCTTGATGCAGTAGACATCTCCACCAGCGGATCAAATTGGTCCATTGTTCTGGCGGACTCTGTTCCTCAGCTGCAAATTCTTAGCTTGTTTCTGTGCGGTATGTCTGGCCCTATCCATCATTCTTTCTCGAGGCTTCGTTCCCTAACGATTATCAATCTCAGAAACAATGAGAGGCTCACTGGCAAAGTTCCTGAATTCTTTGTTGAATTTTCTTCCTTGAGAATTCTTGATATATCAGGATGTTCTTTTAGAGGGCAATTTCCAACAAAAATTATCCTGATGAAAAGTTTGAGGGTGATAGATTTATCTGAGAGCCCTAAACTTTCTGTGTGCTTACCAGATTTCCCAGTTGGAAATAACCTGGAGGTGTTAAATCTAGCAGGGACCACTTTGTCTTGTGATATACGGTCGTCTCTTACAAATCTCAAGTCTTTGAAGAATTTGGGTCTAAGCACTTCAGAAGTTTCCATGGAGCTCTCTTTGATAGTACATAATCTTTCATCATTGAATGAACTGCAACTTTATGGAGGAGAAATGGAGAATACAATACTATCTTGGATAGGCAATCTTACACAATTGACATACTTGATGCTATATATGGCTATGATTTCTCTCAATCAGTGCCCTCTTGGATTGGCAATCTAGCAAGTTTGGAAGGTTTGATAATTTGGAATTGCAATTTCCTTGGGACAATACCTTTCCAGATTGGCAGTCTTGCGAATTTGACAGTATTGGACCTCTCAGATTGCAACTTCTCTGGTTCAATTCCCTCAACAGTTGGGAACTTGGTCCAACTTGAAGATTTGAATCTTGGGGGCTGCAACCTTTCTGGTGAGATCCTAACTAATGCTTGTTTCTCTTCCTGCCTAAAATCGAATGACAACACAGTTGATACACTTGTTGCATCTATAATTTATACTTTGATAAGAGAAAGTTCTTTTATTTCATTACTAAAACCAATGATTGGAAATATTTGAAGGATTCAACTCTAGCATTATTGGTGATGTGGGAAATTTGGAAGCACGGGAACAATATTGTCTTTAACCAGGCTTCTCTCTCAGTTAGACACGTCATGCATAGGGTCTTGGAGGAGTGCAAGCTGTGGATAGTAGCTGGGTTATTTAGAGGGGATTTGGTGAACTTCGTAGTGGAGCTAACTAGGTAGGCTAATAGTGAGTAATCCCTATGTAATTCAGGTGGACTTGGGAGAAATCCCTTGGTGTAATCGGTGGATGGGCATATCGCTCTTTCTTCTATGAATTTATGATAAGCATGCTTGTACATATTTCAAGAAAAAATAAATCTAGTATGGTACCTAGAAATACACCACAAGACATATCGAAGTCTAACTTGAAAAGAAAAATAGTCATTATGTGGACTACCTAAAACAATTATATTAGTGCATGTATTTAGTGAAAAGGTAAAATATTTCAGTACACAATATGTTTTGCAATGTTTGATAAGTTGTGAATTTCTCTGATGTTCGCAGAAATATAACTATTAATGGGAAATATTCTTTCAGCTTCAAATATGCATTGGTATTATATTTTGACTAATAGTACCTACCATTTTCGTGCAGGTCAAATCCCAAAATCTTTGTTTGCTCTTCCAGCACTGAAATCACTTACTCTAAGTTCAAACCAACTTTCCGGTGCTCTGGAAGACATTCCTGCCCCACTGTATTCACCCTTGCGTTATATTCACTTAGACCAAAATGAGCTCACGGGTGCAATACCCAAATCATTCTTTCATCTTAATCACCTCAAATATCTCCATCTTGACTCAAATAGATTCACAAGCACAATTACACTTAGCTCTTTTTGGAGGTTGAAGAGCCTTAGTTCGCTGCGTTTGTCTAACAACTTGTTATCAATTGTGGACGAAGAAGACAACATAGTAACCTCTCTCCCAAACATCAACGACTTAGAACTTGCATCTTGCAACCTCACCAAAATTCCTCGAGCACTGACATATCTAGATAGAGTTGAATATCTCGACCTTTCGAATAATCAAATTCATGGGTTTATACCAAGTTGGGTATGGGAGAATTGGAAGGACCAGCTTCAAATATTGAACCTCTCTCATAACATGTTTACTAGTTTGGAGAGATCTCCTTTTCTTGTTGATATGCCATATTTATTCACCCTCGATCTTAGTTATAATAGACTTGAAGGAAGCATACCAATACCAATAATATTACACCTCTCATCGGTATTCATCTCATCATACATAAAGGTTGTGTTGGATTACTCGAACAATAACTTCTCTTCCATATTACCTGACTTTGGAAAATATGTAAAAAACGTCACGTACCTCAATTTGTCCAACAATAAATTAAATGGCCATGTGTCATCCTCCATTTGTAGTGCCAGCAAATTAAGTGTCATGGACTTATCATACAACAATTTTCGTGGTTTGATCCCATCGTGTCTGATAGGAAGCGGAAATCTGAAAATATTGAAACTGAGAGAAAATCAATTCCAAGGAATGCTACCTAAAGATATTAGAGAAGGATGTAAGTTTCAAACAATAGATTTGAATGGAAACCAAATTGAAGGTAAAATACCAAGATCACTATCAAATTGTCAAGACCTAGAGCTTCTTGATGTTGGAAACAATCAGATTCTCGGTTCTTTCCCATCTTGGTTGGGTGTTCTTCCACAGCTTCGAGTTCTAGTATTAAGATCCAACCAACTCAATGGTTCAATATGGGATATTAAAGGTGACTGTACAATCAACAAATACTTCTCAAGTTTGCAAATACTTGATTTGGCCTCCAACAACTTCTCTGGAAACCTACCAAAAGGATGGTTTCATAAACTGAAAGCGATGATGGAAAATGTCAGTGACGAGGGACAAGTTCTAGGACATGAGACAGATTCAAGATCAGGATTTTATCAAGATACTGTTACCATCACTTTCAAAGGGCTTGATCTTAGTTTCATCAGAATCCTAAGCACTTTCAACGCAATAGATTTCTCAAATAACTCATTTGAGGGTCATGTTCCGGAGTCTATTGGAAGACTTGTTTCCCTACGCTAACTTAACATGTCATACAACAAGTTCACCGGACAAATTCCACTTCAGTACAGAAACTTGTCTCAGCTGGAGTCAATGGATCTCTCTTGGAACCAGATCACAGGAGAAATACCGCCAGAGTTAACCTCGCTTACTTCTCTTGAGTGTTTGAATCTTTCATACAACAACTTGTATGGAAGAATCCCGCAAGGCAACCAGTTCTCAACATTTTCCGACAGTTCATTTGAAGGTAATGCGGGCCTCTGTGGAGTTCCACTCTCCAAACACTGTGACAATCAAAGTTCAGTTGCTCCAACTGAAGTGGCTCCTCCAGAATCTAACAGCTTGTGGCAGGACAAGCTCGGTGTTATCCTTATGTTCGCGTTTGTTGGCTTGGGATTTGGAGTCGGCTTTGCACTTTCATTCTTGCTGCGACTGTATTGCCGCATGGAAGGATGGGTCTGCAAGCAATCATGAATCCCATATGTAACAATATAGAACTTTTACTATGCACCGTATTATTTCTTCCTGAAAAAAGATATGCCGTGGGCATATGGGTTGTACTTTTTTTCGAGGATGCATATGGGTTGTACTTGGTAGATGAGACAACTTAAATAAGCCACTTTTCTGCGGCAGAAGTTACTTATCTGCCTCCTTCCGTTGCATTGGACTGCCTGCATTGATCGAACTTATGTTATATATACAATCATCACACATAATATGCAGTGTGTTAACTATTTTCCTGAGAATAAGATATTCTGAATGTTTATGTGCCGCACTTGTCAGATAAGAGTATATAAATCCATCTTCTTTGGTATTTTTCCATACACGATGCTCAAAGATAACAACTAAACAAATGAAACGGCTGATTGCTTTAGCGATTTGAACTTTGCCTCTGAGGCTTTGTCTTCCTGAAGAGGTACCCGGGCTAAAACTGAAACACACTTAGCGTCGGCAATACAGCTACGAAGCTGACCGCAGCAATCTGAACCAAATATCATCAGAACGAGCATTCAGAGTGGCTTCCACAAGCCAAAAATGCAAGCGGTTGCTCAGAGTAGGCGACTTCGATCCTGGCCCAAAATGCATAAACCGGAGGAGCCTTGCCCAAGCATAACAAAGCAGAGCAGTTCAGCGTCCTGGTAGCGGCCCAGCTGATTCATCGACGTTTTGTTTTTCTTTCTTTCTTTGAGAGAGCTAGTTGCCTCGATGCTGTCGAGCGAACCCTGCTCGGGTGCTGGCAGCTACCGGATCTGCCAGAGGAGGACGTGACCCACTAAAAGAAGAGAGGGTGTAGCCCGTGCCCGCGCTGCGACCAGAGGAGCCGGGCGGCAGGAGGCAGTGCCACCGCCAATGGAGGAGGCGGGGTTGGAGTGCGTGGCTGCGGCGGCGGTCAATACCAGCAGGGAGCACCCGACGGCGGCCTCCAACTCTCGGTCCAATGTGATCCGCGAGTATCCCAAAATCTGGAACATGGGTATCCCCAATTCTGATCGCTAATTGCTCCGTCATTTTCTTTAGCTGGATTGTTTGAGATATTTTCACTGTGATGAACAATTTATATATGGGTGCTTCCTATCTTGAACCTTTATGTTTTACCTTAGAAAACTTACCCAAAACATTTATCTACCACAACCACAAACCAAACCAATGGGTTCAGAGATTGGGCATAGCCACTTCAAGTGTATCTACCACAACCACAAAAGAACACTAAAATAGGCAGAACCGCGACCAACACTTGATATGCTGAATCGGTCATTGTTTTTGCTTACAGCCTCAGAAGTGTAAATATAATACTCCATCACCTTCTTCTGTGGTGAAACAATATCTGACAAGTCCCTTCAAGGATAATCTGTACAATACAGTTAAACACAAACTGCCATGCTATACCATTGTGGCATTGTAGTTCACTATCCAAGGAGCCATCATTCATCCCCAGGTTCACAAAGACACCACACTATCCAAGAATTGGCTAAGTAATATGCCGAGGGTTTTATAACTTCATAGGTACAACTAAGGCTCTGTCTCTCTGGACCAAATGGCACATACAGTAAGTACTTCATGAGACCATTTATCTTACAGGGCAACGGTAACCTCCAAATTTTCAGAAGATGTCGTTCCCTATGAGTCTCTCAAGCTAAAACAGAAACCTTAATATCCTTCTTCCTTCAGGCTCCAGATCAGCCAAAATTAATATGTGTAGCCTTTCCTAATGTTTGCTAAACTTTTTTGAGCGTGAACGGCAGGTGCTCTGCCTTTGCATTATAGAAGAGGGAAAATGGTCTCTTGCCTTTGATCTCTATGTGCAGGATCGTTCTTTCCTTCCCTCGAAGGAAAGGCTAGCCGCCGCCTCCTCCTTCCTCCACAAAAAAGTTAGGGTTTCTGCCTCCCGCCGTTGCCGCCGCAGGTCCGCCTCCTCTCCGGTGGCCCTAGGGCCATGGGGACGCGGTGGATCTCGGCAAGGGCCGGCGGGAGGGCTCCGTTTTTAGTCGTTTCTTTCAGTTTTGCTAGGGTTTGTGTCCTGCTCAGGAAGACGAGACGGCGGCGGCTCCCTGAAGATGGAATAAAGGTCTCCCCGCCTAGTCCCCGTTCCGGCGGCGCGTCTAGCACCGTTGGTGGGCGTGTGGAGGTGTGTCTCCGGTGGATCTATCTTTGGTGGATTTGCTCGGATCTCGTTGTTGTTCGTCTACGTTCGCGTGTCTTCAGATTGGATCTTTCTGATCTACGTTATTCTTCCTCTGCGACGGTTGTTGTTCTGGTGCGCTGGTCCTACAGGGCCTTAGCACGACGACTTCCCGACTGTCTAGTTGTGCCCGACTCCGGCGATGGAGGGGCGATGACGGCAGCGCGCCTTCGGCTCGCTTCAGTGCTGGTAGTCGTCGCTAGGTGGTCTATGGATCTGGATGTAATTTTTATTATTTCTGGTATTTGTTGTACTGCCATGACTGAAGATGAATAGATCGGAAATTTTCTCGCAAAAAAAGGGAAACCGGACCCGAAAACCATACAACGCGCGGTTAATATGGGAAACCGGCAAAAACCACACCCAACAACTCATGACACATCATCTGTGCCGGAAACAAGAGCCCCTAGACCTAGGAACGGAGGCCATGCCTTGTATCCAACAAAGACGAACTCCGCAAACACCCACAAACTCTCTACAATGGCAGCACACCGAAGTGCACCCTCGCAACAGAAGTGGTCAAGCATTGGCCTGAACTAATGCGCGCACCGCCTCGATCGCCTTGGGCGTGTGTTCCTTCTTGTACATCTGCAGATAGTGTTGCATCTTCTCATTCAGGTCTTCTTCAGATGCTTTTCCTTTGCTCTTGAGTGTTGGAACCTCTCCAAAGGCCTCCGCCCGCCTATACTCCGCGCGCTTGGCTACAGGAATGTCACAATCTTTGTTTTTCTTGTCCAAGCGGCAGCTTCGTCGCTCTAAGAGAGAAGGGGCAGCCTCTCCCACCTGCAAAACTTGCGGCGAGCTCGACACAGTGAGAGCAAGCTCCTCGAGGAACTCCCCCCACGGAGAGGAGGCTCTCCCAAGAGGCTCATCTGCATCCATCTGGATCAGCTCCTTTGAAGGCTTCCCGGTGCAAGGAGCACTGGAAACCTTCGGCTCCTCCAGTGTCGACTGCTCAACAAGCTCCACCTCAGCCATAACCATGTCAAAACAAGAAGACACCTTGGCCCGCTCCTCCACGCCTTGACTCACCATCCCGGGTAGGACAGAAGCTAAGTCAGGAGGATCATCCTCGAGCATGACCTTTTCCAAGGCAGGCGGATCATCAATGGACTGAGCCTTCTCACTCAACTCAGCTGAGCAGCCAGCCACAACAAGCGCACTGCAATCCTCACCAACGGCCACAGCAGGAGGAGCAGATTCAACATTGGCAAGGTCTTGGCTGCCCCCGATAGCTTCCATAGGTTCCCATAGGCTTGAGACTTGAGCAGTCCAACTCTCCACAGCAGCAACCAAGTCTTGAAGAGGCTTGAACAGCACCTCAAGACGAGCAGCGAACAAGGCCTGTAGCTCAGCGCCGAGCGCCTCCGCCTGAGCTGCAAGGAGAGGCCGCAAGGGCTCCAAAATAGCAGGAGGCACGCCGGGGTCAGCCGCCGGCACGACACCATCAGTCACAGGGCTGTCTTGATGAGAAACCACCGAAGCCCAAGTGCGACCAGGTCGATGAAGTGGGGCTGGAGGCGATCCGCTGTAGGGGGGAGGCCGCTGACGAGGCCCGATAGGCGCGAGGGGGGACAGCGAGGTTCTGAACCGGCAGGATGCCGTGCCAAGCACTCCCGCTCGCGATGGCCGGAGTGGCCACATCCCAAGCACCGGACAAGGCCGCGGCAGCCCGCGACGAAGTGGTCCGATGCCAAGCGCCGAAAGCAGAGGCCAAAAGTCCTCTGCTTGAAAGTGCGAGGCAGTCCAGCATCCTTCCTGGGAGGGGGAGCAGCCACCTTCTCCAGGCTCGGGCGGCGCCGTCTCCCAACCTCCACCCAAGCCGGGGCGGCCGGGGCCAGAGCGGCGGGCGTCGGGGTCGGAGCCGCAGGGGCCGGAGCGGCCAGGTCCGAGGCGGCAGGGGCCGGAGCGGCCGGCGCCGGGGCCGGAGCAGCAGGGGTAAAAAGAACGACCGCCGGAGAGGGGCACGGGTCGGGATCCGGGTCAGGGCCTTCATCCCCGGCCGGGCTGGGAGGGGGAGGGGGAGGGGCGGCGGCAACGGAAGCGACGGGGGCTACGGGGGCCATGGGCGAGGGCGGCGGAGGGGGCTGCTTGGTGGCGGCGGCGGCCGCCAGCGGAGTCGCGGGAGGCTAGGGTTTGACCACAGCTATTCCCTCTAGCAACTTATGTTTGCTAAACTTATATCCCCTAAAACTCAACTCTATTTCTACTAATCTACTACCTCGATCCCATAATGTAAGACCTTTTTTTGACATTAGTGTAGTGTCAAAAAACGTCTTACATTATGGGACGGAGGGAGTAATTAATTCCAGCTCTTAAAGTAGAGCTTCTTTACCAAACAAACAATGTAGCTCTCCCTGTTGTAGATTCCTGCCACTACAGTACAGTCACACATTAGCTCATGTAGCTTGCAACGGGCCTACTGGGTACTGGCAAATGGACCTTGACTCATTGAAGGTACCAAATCACTCTCTAAACTTTGAATTGGTCCAAGTCTCTGTGATATGACAACAAAACATCCAGCTGACAGTACAGCCACCAGTAGCGTGCACGCCAAGGTACAGCCCAGCACTACTCAACCTCACCTCCCACACAAACCTCAGCCTCGCCGCTAATGACTTTGGCCTGATCAGTCTTCCTAATTTCAGGTTTGAGCGGCTGACGGAGCTCCTCACTCTCAGCTTCTGATGCCCTAAAATTTACTTTTTGGTGCCCTAAAACTGCTTTTGAGTGCCCTATTTTACGTCACCTGTTAGAGATGCTCTAAGTTGTTCCCATGACAACCGATGAACTGGTCTATGACAGCAACAATCAGCATGTACGTACTTTACAGTGATCAGTTGAACTCACGGCGTCACAAGTGTAAATACACAATCTCCATCACCTTGTTCCGCGATCCATTGTCAATTTCTTACTACTTTTTCCAAAACAATTCTAGAAAGTAGAGCCAAACACAACTGGCCTGGCATGCGTAGAAATATCTTCCCATCATAATATTCCTACTAGCGGGTAGTGCGCGGCGGCACGCCGCGCCCCGTTGTTTCGTTTGAGATTTGTTTTCATTGAGTTTTTGAGAATTTGTTCCACATTGTGATGTGAGTATCTTTGTAGTGAGTAAGATAATAGTTGGGCAATAGTTGTTTCTAGATACAGTTTTTATATTCGTGACTCGCTGGTACATTCATGTGCTGTATTTGGCTTAAACTTGTATGCAGGTTATTGAACACGTTTTCGTTTTGCATGAAAACATAGATATTTATGGATATAGTTATATATGGTTTCAGCATTAGTGCTACATCCTTAAGATACATGATGGTAGGCGAGACTACAAGTTTACAATGGTACCATTGCCTGTATATTCTATAGGTAGAACTGAGACGTCGATCCTCCAGCTGGGTCGGTCTCTATGATCTAGTGGTACAGTGCTGAAGCTACCTCTTCTCAAGAGGCCCTTGGTGGCTTGCTTCCGGTGTATACCATAGGCTCATTCCTTTGGTGCTCTTCCTGGCTAACATCGACAAGATATCTGGAAACTACAGACAGCTTTTTTGTACCATTATGGAAATGAAACTATTAGTATCAAGATTATGTGGTTCTCTTCTCTACAGTATAATAAACAGAGGTTACAAATGCATTAAGAAAAAGAATAGTCTTCCATTACATGTTCTGTACCACAGCTATAAGCAATGCATGAGATATATGAAGATGCAAAATTCCTCGAAAAAGAAAGATGCAAGATGACAAGACTACCTGCTATCGTGGTCTACCTTGGATAGTGCATTACGCTTCTGAAGTTGCTCAATTTGGTTTCCCATCTCAGCTTTACGCTGACTTGGCATGTACTTGTGTCAACCTCCATGATCACCTACTTGGTTTCTTGAGTAAACTGGAGATGGACACAGGGTTAGAACAAAAAACATAAACACGAAATTTCAGTTGGAGGAGAACGGTTGATCACTGAATAAAATTTTCTGGAGACAATGAAACTTTAAACTGAATCTGATTTCTGAATCTAAACAAGAAACCCGAGATGGGTACAATACATTTCATGGTTAATCCCATGAAACAGATACATATAGCTCCCCCGGCCCCAATTCAACTAATCCGAAGTTCAGCTAGTTAGAATTGAACATTATAAACCAGGTTATGCTCTACGCAAGAAGGCCGGAATCAAAATAAGAGCAAGTATAAAATGTAAAGAGGAGCAAGCAAGTCATAGATCCTGTATAATATTGACCACCAGTAAATTCTACAAAATGCATCATTTTTTGTGTGTGAGATCGTCAAACCTCACTACAAGCTGAATAAGCTAGAGTTGGTTTGGATCTATACACCACAAATTAAAATTCAGATGAGAAGTAAGATCATGGAACTTCACTAAATCGTGTGTATTTAAATTAAGGCACTATCCAAGTTCTTGTCCAAGTATCACATCCAGACCACATCATGGAAAGTAAGAATCAAAGTGGCGAACTGAACTGGAAATGCGTTGGACCAGGGTAGAGACTGTAAGAGGCTGAAGGTGCGAGGGCAAGGAGAACAGAAAAATCAAGATAAATGAAATATTAAACCTAGGTCTGAACTACACTGTAATAAGCCAAACATCCTCTCTAGTTATAGATCAAGGTTCGGTTTTTGTACAAGGAACAAAAAGGGAGATGCAATAATGAGTCTATGGTACCTACTGTACTTCGCGGTCTCATTAATTTTTCTGGAGAACATCCTGGTGACTGGATCAATCAGATAATTATCATCTGAAATCACTTCCACAATATCTGTTACAACAAACTAATGGTGTTTAAAATAATTATTGTGCAGATGTATGTCTGATTTTGATTTGAATCAAATGTAACATAGGCATATTGAATCATGAATCATATATGCATTGCTGTGCCAAAGGAATGTGCAACTCAAAACAGATCCATGGGCCGATAGATAAAAAGAACAGGGAGAGAATAAATATATATATATATATATATATATATCAAAAATTACCTGAAGTCCTGGGGGAAAAGCAAAGACAGGGAGCAGCTCGGCCCTGCAACTGCAAGGTTATGCGGCTGGCTCGGCAAGACAGGTCCTGCTGGAAAAAACACAATAAAAGATGATGATATATAGTGTACTCTGTACTCATGTCTGTTTTTTTCAACTGTGCTAATAATGGAATTAAGCTACTTCTGATTCCTAGTATTAGTGGCAAAGAAATAAACATTACATACTACTATTGCAAGGCGCCAAGCCGCAGACTCGGCTGCAATTGCCTGACCCTGAAGAGGCAGCCAGCGCTCATGTGCGTGTAGAACAGTACCTTCTATCACGCGTGTGGTTTCCCGAGCACCTGCGCGACTGCACGTGCGCCCCGAACCTGCCCGACCACGGCCAGCTCCTGCTCCACTAAATCTTGCGCCGCGTAGTCGTGCTCGAGGTCGCCGCAGCCTCCGCAGTCCAACGCTCACATGCACCACCACACGCACGCGCACAAGGAAGACCCCGCCCTTGCTGCCGCCACATCACGCACGCCGGCCGTCCGAGAGGCACGCACGATCAAAAAGCACTTCCGTCGCTTCCAGGCATAGGGGCTCCCGCAGGCTGTGCGGGCTCATGAGGCTGGCGATGCTTAGCTCCATGGCTGCATCTCTTCGGGCGTGCCTTTCGGGCCTCAGGCTAGAGGTGGCCGCTGGTGGGGGTGTGGGCGCCGCCGGAATTTGGGAGACGGACCAACGACGCTGCAAGATGAGAACCTAGGCAAGAAAGTGTGCCCTTTATAAAGTCGCTGTCGGGGAAACTGATCCACGAACACCTATGGGACCGGCGAACCGAGCCCCTTTCGGTTCGGTGGGGGGGCGGAGATCGCACGAAGAGCAGATCGAGGCGAAGCACACGAGCGGTTTACCCAGCTTCGGAGCTCTCCGGAGAGATAATACTCCTACTGCTGCATGTCTGAGTGTATTGAGTTCTTGCTCGGGAGCGCTGAGTGTTACAGTACACACCAGCTGCTAACAAGACCGAGCGTGAATGTTTTCTGACCTCGACCCCCCTCTACATTGCGCATGGGCCTCCTTTTATATGCTAAAGGGGTCACCGACAGGTGGCAACGTAGACAAGGGCAAAAAATGGAAAAGGACTTGCGGTTGGTACAACAACCTGTACAGTGTATCATACCTAACCCTGACGGCAGGGGACAAAGGCATTAAATGTCCGTCTACGTCGCCCAAATAGTGCAAACAGAGACCGTCAGGGACGCCACCGCTTGCCACGATGGCAATCTTGTCAGCGCCGCTTGCCACCGCGCACCGCTGGCTGCACAGCCTCTTGCCACGCGCGCCTGGAAAGGCCCTAGGGCGACACGTTGGTGGATGTGCTGGAGCGCAGGTACAGAGAGGTAGCTTGCCGCGGTCATTGTCTTGTCGCGTCCGGAAGCTTGTCGCTAACCGGGCCTCGCCGGGACACGTGGCACGTCGCAGCAAGTTCTTTGAGATGCCTTGGTTGGCCTTTCCGGCAAGCTCCTCTTGCCGGGGCCTTGTCTCCTTGGCGTGAATACTTTGTTCTTATGCCTTGGTTGGCCTTCCCGGCAAGCTCCTCTAGCCGGGGCCTTGTCTCCTTGGCTTGGATACTTTGTTCTTGAATGGCTCCACAGGAACCACGGAGGACCTTGGCGGTCACCCGGCAAGCCTTGCCGCGGGTGGTTGCAACCGCCCGTGCACAAGTTCGGGATGCTAGGGTACCCCTACTCTAGTACACCGACAGGAGCCCCCGGGCCTGGGCCACACACGGTGCCGAGCGCTGTTGGGCCAGGCCCAAAACAGGGCACGGGCACGCGCGGCCTGGGTTACGCCGTATCTTTCTCCGTATCCACCGCGCCCTCCCCGAACGGCACGCGTTGAATGCGGCGTCGTGGGAGAGATCGTGGGTGGTTTCTTTATTCGAAAGGACGAAACATCTGCCCCCTCCCTCTTTATATGAAGGGGAAACAGGGGCAGTTCGCCCATCTCGCCGATTGTTACTCCAATTTCACAAATCTCCGCCGCTCCCCCCTTCTTCCCGAAGCTGAAAGAGAGCAGCGCTC